ACGTTCACTGTAGTCTGCGTTCCTCATGTTCTGTGCAGCAGAGGGTTCAAATATCTGAGACCTGCCGGGACATGAAGCTTTCTGTCGCCCCGGGGTGCAGACGCAGAGTTGCGTAAAGACGTGCTAGAGTTTATCAGGCATCCAGGAAACAGAAGAAGGAAACCATGATATAAATACTCGAAATATGACGCTGACTAAATTACAATCGTATCAACAGAAGTCAGGCCTCTTATCAGTACGGAGGAATGGCAACATTAGTACATTTGTTTTGCAACTCAGAAACGTGAAGGTAGGGTTCAGCTTTCAGCATGAACACTCAAATAGGTCTGCATTTAGTGGGATATATTAAGTCTTTAACTGAGGGAGAACTCAACTTAGGAACATTACATACAAATATAAACTCTGACACGTATTTCTGCAGAGACATTTGATTAAACAAACATAAGTGGGCAGGGGATTGTTCATCTTATGTTAGGATGGTTGATTTGAAGCATAGACTGCATAAAAAGACAGACAAAACAACAGCCCCCTAAAGGTGAAGCCAAAAGATTTGGAGCTCCCTCTACTGACTGGCTGCAGTATTGGTCTTAAAACCTGCCTCCTCCATGTTAACAGATGGAATATGGGTCAAACTTTAAAACTCAAACACCAGTTTTAAAAAAATGATTATTTTCTTCTCAGATCCCGATTTAGATTGAAGTGCAACAGTTCATCTTTCTGAGAAGTTTATTTTTATTTAGTTTTTAATGAATTAAAAAAGGGGTAAAACACTGTGATTGACAGCTCTGTTGATGAATGAGACTCCTGCATTGCTGTGTGCACTGGATTATCAGAGTAAAGGAGGAATGGTGAGAGGAAACAATGAAGATGCTATGAGATATGAAAAATCATGGCACATCACACACTACAGGATTCTACTAAAATTATCGTGCCCGACGGAGGAACACACCACCTCATGTGACCTTAAGTAAACAATGGAGATGGCTGTTAAATTTGCCATTTAAAGTTTTGTGCAGAGAGGACAAAAAAACTAAAAAGTTTTGGGTGAAGAAATGACTGAGTAGATACGTACAACATGGATTGTGTATTTTTCAGTTAAAGCATGGAGGTCAGATTCTAACTGTCAGATGCTTTACAGTTGTCCGGCACACCTTTGCAGGTCACCACATCATTACTGTCCTTCTTCGTCTCTCTCTGTGATTGAAGTCAAACACAACTTCTGCCAAACCCTTTCATGACATAGTCGCCAAGATTTTAAATCCTAAATATCAAACTAGTTTGATACAAATCGGGGTGTCGCCGACTATCTCCGAGCAGATCAGGGACGTTAAGATCAGATCTTTATATGACTTCGGTTGCCTTGAGTCAGGAACACCCACTGCGATTGTTGGGAAGGAGGAATTGTCCGGATTATCCTGCATTCTGAGCCAGGCTTAACACAAGTTGTTGTTACTTTCCATAACCGTGAATGTCTGCTACAAACTGACACAAGAATCTGCTGTGGACTGAACCCACCTGAGGGATCTTTGACTTTTTATAAGGATGTAAGATGTATGCTTCGGTTAGTGGAAGAGGCTTGGCGTCTATTCTGCGGCTCCACCAACCAGCTTCCCTCTGCTAATTCTGTATCCAAATGATGTCACCTGCACAATATGACAGCACCCGTAGCCGGGGTTTTTTTTTTTTATATTCTATTTTGTACAATTTAAGGAGATGGAGACGTGACATCCATTTTCATATACGGTCAATATTTTGCGGTGATGCTGATTATTATTTTAACAACACTGGAGATGAGAGTTGAAACATCCCAGTGAAGTAGATGTACAGCTATAATATTATAAGATATATTTTAGGCTCTGGTTATCTTATAAGAAGAGCAGCCTGCGCTAAAAAGAGGAATGTGGAGAATCTTGTGAAGTTATACTTTCATAAAAAAAATAACTGAATACTTCCTAAATGTAATGAGCTGTCTGCTCCTCTGATATCCCCTCTTTTAAAATGAAGTATAAGCCAGGAATATCTAATCAAATATTAGATCGGTCTGGTCACTGAAACAAAGGTAGGTTCACCAAATAGTTTAACCTGCAAATAATTCATCATTCAAACATCTTAAACTCTCCCCTGACTCACTTGTTTTCTCCCGCTGTGTAGTGAAAAAAAGTCATTAATACTTCCAGCCACTAGGTGGCATCAAAGCATTAGCATTCTAACTTCAAGCTACAGTCTTATTTTCATGGTTGGACTGTGAGAGGCAGTCTAGAAGAAGACGTAACAGTGTTGTGTGTAAATGGTAAATGGACTTCAGCTTGTATATTTCTTTTCTAGTCTTCTGACTATTCAAAGCGTTTTTACACTGCAGGTCACACCTACACATTCACACACTGATGGCAGGGGTTAGTTAGATATAGATAGATACTTTATTGATCCAGAGGGAAATTCTGTAGTGAGACCATCAGAAGTAACTAATCCTCCCATTCATATGTATTCATATGCCGCCAACAAAGCAGTGGGAGCAATTTGGGGTTAAATGTCTTGCCCAAGAGACCGAGACGACAACTCTGCCAACTGAGCCACAGCCGCCCTGTGTACGTTAAAGTCTTTATTAAAAGTCAATGGTCAATAAAATCTTGATGAATATTTCTCATTGTTCTATTTGTTTTAATGAAGACATAACTGTTTCTCTCTATCTCTAAAGTCTGCTTGCTGCTCTGTGTGTATCTGTTGATCTGAGTTAAAGATTGGCCGAGCACAGGATTTCAACTTATGCGCAATAATAACCATTCCAGCATGTGTAGAGCACTTTAAGTTTTATAACTTAGAGTAAATTATGTCTTAAAGAGCCCATATTCTGCCCTTTTTGGGGTTCATATATTTAATCTATGTTCCTACTTTTGTACGTTCACAATAGCTAAAGTCTGAAAAAAGTGTCTGTTTTCATGTACTGCTCCTCCTTGCTCCCTCTACGCTCTGAGTCTGTCAGCTACGCTCTGTTGAGCCCACACTGTTAGACCCCACGTGGGCCAAGTCTGCTGTGATTGGTCTGCCGATTCGCTCTGTCGTTATTGGTCAGTTGCTCAGCACGCTTCAAAATCGAAATTCGAAATTTCAACATGAGCTGCAGGGCTTACCACAACGAGCCAATGGGCTTAGATCAGTGATCTCACACTAACAATGATGCCACACTTGACACATTTTTATCGAGGGGGGCTAGAACCGAGCGTTACATGCGTCCTCCTGTTAGACGTAGGAGAAGCCATGTTTCTGAGACTTTTAATTTTTGCACATAGATGTGCTTAAACATGCACCGGACACTTGGAAAACACACTATATATATATATATATATATATATATATATATATATATATATATAAATATAAAAACCAGAAAAAGCATAATATGAGACCTTTAAACTCTAATCCGATGAGCTGATTGTCAATAGGCAAGGCAGGTTACTGCTTCGGGCCCCAGGCCAGTGGGGGGCCCCTATGGGCCAACAAATTTAAACCACAGCAGAGGCTCAAAATGATCTAATTTTGCAAAGACACTAGGAAACCTCCCTAAAGAGGACCCCTTTTAAAACAAGACTGTTTGGCTGCTCAAGTCTGACAAGAGAGCCAGGCTGCAGCCATACCCGACTAATTTAAACTGCCTAGCGTGCTCCACACTCCTGTCCACTAGGTGGCGGTAATGTACCTTCACGCTGGTTGTCAACCGCAAAAAAAACCTAAAGAAGTAAACACGCGGGAAAAGTTTGTTTGAACGTAACTCTATCTCATCTTCTAGACTTGTATGCTGTCGAAATTCACGTTCAAGTTTAATAAAACAACAACAATGTGTTCAGCTGAGAGTCTGAGAGAGTTTGTCAACGAGTGACTAACGGCTGCTGCGGAAGACATTTTTGTAGTTTTTAAAATAACTATCGTCGAGTACGAGGAAGAAATCGATCGTCAGCGCAGACTGCGGGATATAGATTTGAAACCTCAAATCAACTTTCACAGAACAGGTGAGGAACTGACTAATGACACAAAAAATGAATGGTAAATGTCACAGTATTATATGCTACGATGGCAGAGAAGTGCAAACACGAAGCATGAGACCCAAAACATTTTCATTAAGAGAAACGGGCTTCCTGTAAAAAAAACTTATTTGATTTCCAGCTCTTATATAGGGTGAATTAGCCAAATGTGTGACACTGCCTAATGTGGGACACCTAAGCTCAAGTGGGTGTAGGTATTCCTACAACAAATGAAAGTCAATAAAACTAAGGGTTAACACAAGTTGTGATGTCATGTGATCAAAATAACATGACTTCTCAAATGTCCAATCATAGATTAGAATGATACAAGCTTCAAAAAGGAAGTACAGCATGAAGACCACCCAAAGGTCAGAGACATACTGTTTAGACAAACTTAATGTTAAGGATATACATTTCTTATGAATAAAACAATCCTCCTTTTTCTATCTGGATGTTTTTATGATGTGCTTGTTCATCAAAAAATATTATATTATGTTGTAAACAAACCCTATATTTGTTATTTTAAATTAAAATTTCCTTTGTCCCACTTAAGGAAAAATGGGACACTATGATTTATCTAATGTGGGACAGTTTTTTGCATTCAAATATGCCTGTTATGATTGTATGCATTTCCTGTTTAGTGGAGCTATTTGTTGGCTTATTGGTAGTTTTTTCCATGCTGAATGACATATTTTTAAGAAACCCAAGTACATCTCTGATAAAGATACGATTAAATTGGTTATGTTGCATATTTCTATGTGGAAATACACAGTTTTGAAGACTAGTCGATCAATTAATCAATTAGTCAACAAAATAGTATTGGTGTTAGTTGGCTAAGCATTCTTTTGTTCAGGACAGACATATGGAATAGAAAATATTTAAAAATTTTAACATAGTAACATTACAATTCTTTAAATAAATTAATGCATAAAATGTTCATTACATTCTGCTTTCTCTGCATGTCAGATATGGTGATATAATAGCCTATTGTCTTTCTACTAAATGCATCAAAACTATTATTGTCCTTTTTTAGTGTTTTGTAACACCAATAACATTGTAAATGGTAAAATTACAGAACATTGGATTGCACATTTTAGACTTGAGTGTGACAGACTTGAGAGGTTTTCATACTTGAAATAAGGTGATTTAGGCCTTTTAACATAGACTTTTCAGTGTCCCACATTTAGAACAGCACCGTCCCACATTAGGAAATGCAGATTGTCCGAGACAATTTGGCACTAAGACTACTGATATGGGATTTCAGAGTGGTACTGGGTGAGGATTTAATGTATAGCTTCATGTTGCAATACACCCCAGAAGTCTAAAATGCAAAAATTGTCCCACATTAGGCCACTTCACCCTAGGTATAGTATATTAGTTATTGTGCTGTAAAAACAAACAGTGCCAACTAACAATACTTAATGCAAATGGGGGAAGTATCCCTTTAAGGAAACATGCTATGTTGAAGTGCTGAATGGTCTGGATTTGTTTGGACCAGAGAAGGTAGGCAGTTTATGGCACCCCCACACGGCCATTTAGGATGCCCCTTGATTTTCCAGATATAGTATATATTATTCCAGATAATGAAATACAGATTAAACATACCAACCTGCTATGTGACACATGCACACATCACAGTTGTGATGTAAAAACTAAATTACATTCAGCCCTATTTCCAGTGCAGCACATCTTTGTTTATGGATAATTGTCTGTGTCAATCTTTCTGAAGTTCCTACCTTTCAGTCACTTTGTTGTTGTGGGACACTTTAGTAAATGTTTCGTTTGTGTTCCTCCAGATGTTCCACAGCAACATGTGTGTAAGGAGGAGGAGGAGGTTTTGGTCGACCAGCAGCTCTGTAATCAGGAGAGGAACTCCAGTCCAGACCAAGAGGAGCCAGAGCCTCCACAGATTGAAGAGGAGCAGGAGGAACACTGCAGCAGTCAGGAGGGAGAGCAGCTCGTACTGAAGGAGACTGACACATCCATGTTGACTCTTACTCATGAGGAGAGAGACCACAGTGAAGCACAACTGCTAAATGAACATCAGCCCATTTCTAACAGCTCTCATGATGCTGAAGATCAAGATCCCACAGGAAGTGAGCACATCAACAAGGGACTAACTTCTGCTGAAGACAAATTTGTAGTTTCAAAAAATACTAACGTCGCGTATGAGGGAGGGATCGATTGGAAGAGCAGACTGCTGGATATCGTTTGGAAACCTCACATCTACCTAAACAGAATAGGTGAGGAAAAAGCAAACTATGCTAAACTAATGCAAAGGGAGTTAGGGTTTATATTTGCTTCCTGTGGCGATGTAATCATTGAGAATAATGGAGAACAAGAATTAAAAAAAAAAACTACTGAGATATAACGCCTCAACATACTCTGCATTCTTCATTTTACTGTATTTCGTTTGTGTTCCTCCAGATGTTCCACAGCAACATGTGTGTAAGGAGGAGGAGGAGGTTCTGGTCAACCAGCAGCTCTGTAATCAGGAGAGGAACTCCAGTCCAGACCAAGAGGAGCCAGAGCCTCCACAGATTGAAGAGGAGCAGGAGGAACACTGCAGCAGTCAGGAGGGAGAGCAGCTCGTACTGAAGGAGACTGACACATCCATGTTGACTCTTACTCATGAGGAGAGAGACCACAGTGAAGCACAACTACTAAATGAACATCAGCCCATTTCTAACAGCTCTCATGATGCTGAAGAGCAAGATCCAAAAGGAAGCGAGCTCGGAGACTCAGAATCAACTAGAAATTCAGAACCAAAGAAAAAGCTTCCCAAAAGAAGAATTCAGAACACTAAAACATCAGACACTCACTGTAATCTGAATGTAATGAAAAGTCTTTTAAATGTGACACGTGCGGCAAATCTTTTAAGATAAAGTCAGAATTCGCATGTCCACAGAGGTAGGAAGACCCATACTTGCAATACTTGTGGGAAAATATGCGGTTCAAAATCAATACTGATAATTCATAAATAAACTCACACAGGTGAGAGGCCTTAGTCCTGCAGCATCTGCGATAAAAGATTCATCTGCCAGAGCACATTGAATCGTCACAACACGATTCATAAAGGTGAAAAGCTGTTTACCTGCACAACATGCAGCAAATCATTCAGATCAAAGGGTATTTTGACAATCCACATTAGAACACACACAGGTGAGAAGCCGTTTACCTGCACAACATGCAACAAAACTTTCAGAACAAAAAGTCATTTAACAGCCCACACTAGAATACACACAGGTGAGAAGCCGTTTACCTGCACGACATGCAACAAAACTTTCAGAACAAAAAGTCATTTAACAGCCCACACTAGAATACACACAGGTGAGAAGCCGTTTACCTGCAAAACATTTGGGAAAAATTTCACTCAGAAATTGTCCTTAAGTTCACACATTCACATTCACACAGGTGAGAGGCTGTTTACCTGCACAACATGCAACAAAACTTTTGTAACAAAAGATCATTTAATAGCCCACATATAGGAAAAGATTTACGATGCTAGCAACTTTGAATCGTCACATTCGCTCTCATACAGGTGAAAAGGAGTACACCTGTGGTACCTGTGGGTCATCATTCAGCAGGAGAGGTTATTTGAATAATCACATTGAACAAATTCATTCAAGTAAAAAGCCGTTTACCTGCACAACATGTAGCAAATTTTTTAGATTTAAAAAAAAGTTTGATAGTCCACATGCATGGACACAGGTGGGAGGCCGTTTACCTGCACAACATGCAGCAAATCTTTCACATTAAACAGAACTTTCACAACCCACATGAAAATACAGACAGGTGAGAGGCCTTTCTCCTGTAGCATCTGCAATAACAGTTTCATTTGCAAATCAGTATTGAATTGGCACTACTCGATTCATGACGGGGAACAGCTGTTTACCTGCACAACATGCAACAAGTCTTTCAGATTTAAAAGTAATTTAACAGGACACATGAGAACACACACAGGGGAGAAGCCTTACTCCTGAAGCACCTGTGGGAAAGGATTTGCGCTGCAGTCAACTTTGACTCGTCACATTCACTCTCATACAGGTGAAAAGCCATCCACTTGTGGTACATGAAAAGTCGTTTAAATAAGCACATAGAAATTCATGAAGGTTAAAATGGTTTACCTGCACAACGTGCAGCGGGTCAAAGTTTGTGGTGACCTGACGGTTCACATGAGAAGGTCTCGCACAGGTGAGATGCCGTACCTTTGTAAGTTCTGGAAAGATTCTTTGATTCTTTTTTTTGATCAGATGAAACCACATGCAGATAAGAAGTTATGAGTATGCAGATGTGATTTGGTTCAAGTGATGGCTCTGAATCAACACTGAGGATTTCTGTTCATCAGACCTGCAGATGCCCATGACTGACAATCAATAAATTGCATATTGTAACTTTTGATGTAAGTTGCCTAATCACAGTTTAGCTTATTTTAAGAAAAGTTACCGAGTTAACCCTTGTTTTTAAAGTACCGTTTCTTTTGATTTATAAGATTTATTTTTGGGGCGTTTAGCTTTTATTTGAAAGGACAGTGTGTTGAGTAGGAAACCCAGTCATCACAGAGTGGTGATTGACATTCGTGAAAGGAGCCACAGGTCTGACCCTCACCCAGGACACCCACTTGGAGTATTATATCACCCATACATTTGGCACCCTGCATTGTATTGTTTTTAATTGTAAAGAAATATAAATCAATAAAATCATTACACAATCAATATTCTGGGTATTTCTTTGATTCCCTAACATGAAGTGTTTCTGAGTATCAAGATCCAAAAGGACACAGGCACACAGACTCAGAATCAACAAAAATTTCAGAACCCAAACCAAAGTTAGGCATGGAGTCCCACAAGGTTCTTTCCTTGGACCGATTCTCTTCTCATTCTCAGCTATACGTATCAATAAAGCCTGATGACCAATCAGTTATGTAAACTAGAAGCATGCCTGAAGTCAGGACCCGGTTGACCAGAAAATTTTGCTGCTTACCTCAGACAACTCTGAAGTTCTTGTGTTTGGCGCTAAAAACCTCAGAGAGACTTTCTAATGATATAACTGTCCTTAATGGCATCCACCTGGCATCTAGCACCAATGTTAGTATTCTAGGAGTTCTATTTGATCAAGATACTTTATGTCCTTCAACTGTCACATAAAACACATTTTAAGGACAGCCTATTTTTCACCTACGTAAAATATCTAAAATCAGGCATATCCTGTCACAAAATGATGCAGAAAAGCTACTTCATGCATTTTTTACCTCCAGGTTGGATTATTATAACTCTTATACCAGGGTGCTCAGAAAGTCTCAAAGATCTACACTAGTCCAAAGTGCTGCAGCTCATGTAATGACTAGAAATAGGAAAAGGGAATACATTACTCCTGTATTGGCTTCTCTGTACAATATAGAATAGATATTCAAATCCTTCTTCTCACTTAAAAATCTCTAAATGGCCAGGCACCATCTTATCTTAAAGAGTTTATAGTGCCATATTACCATATTACCCTATAAGTACATTCACTCCCAGAATGTAAGCATGGTTGTGGTAGCTACAGTATCTAAATGTACTATGGGAGGTAGAGCCTTCAGTTATCAGGCCAGCTCATGTTACCTACTATATTCTCTAAATGTACTATGGGTGGTAGAGCCTTCAGTTATCAGGCCTGCTCGTGGTATAGTCTCTAAATGTACTATGGGTGGTAGAGCCTTCAGTTATCAGGCCTGCTCGTGGTATAGTCTCTAAATGTACTAAGGGAGGTAGAGCCTTCAGTTAACAGGCCGACTCGTGGTACCTATATTCTCTAAATGTACTATGGGTGGTAGAGCCTTCAGTTATCAGGCCTGCTCGTGATATAGTCTCTAAATGTACTATGGAAGGTAGAGCCTTCAGTTATCAGGCCTGCTCGTGGTACCTATATTCTCTAAATGTACTAAGGGAGGTAGAGCCTTCAGTTATCAGGCCTGCTCGTGGTACCTACAGTCTCTAAATGTACTAAGGGAGGTAGAGCCTTCAGTTAACAGGCCAACTCGTGGTACCTATATTCTCTAAATGTACTATGGAGATAGAGCTTCAGTTAGCAGCATACTTGTGATTCCTACAGTCTCTAAATGTAATGTGGGAAGTAGGTAGGGGTGTAACGGTACACAAACATTTCGGTTCGGTACGGTTCTCAGTCGAGAAGCTTCGGTTGGGTACATTTTCGGTACAGTAAAGGGACCTGATGCAACACTTTTTTTTCTTTATTAGGAACATTTAGAATTTTCCTTTTACACATTGGCTAAGTGCAGCATCGCCAGTTCAGACTTGTACACCTGCTCAGGTTACTTTTAATAACATTTTAAATTAAACATTTTAAAAAAAACAACATAAAATTAACTCATGCTGCATCCTTCAAGCGAAAGAGTCTCCAATAAATAAAAGACATGAATGATATAAAGTAGTTTAGAATGAAATGAAGTAATTAATATAGCTTATATGTAAAAAAAAAATCTTTTTAATTACAGTGACACCTTTTAGTTTATGAAGGCAACAGTTTATTGATTAATAAACCTAATCACATCTGGGACAGTATAGTTTCATCGCAGAACTATTAATATTTCCTCTGTCGATATAAGAACGTCAATGGCATTTGTTATGGCTTTGGCCCGTTCAGAATTACTAGCAAAAGGCTGTCTGTTTCCTAGTTGCAGTGATGTTTATGTTCGCGTGGTGCCTTTTCAAGTGCTTTAATAAGTTGGACGTGTTGCCTGCGACGTACCGATGTCCGCTGAACAACGACGGCCACTACTCTCGTCTTGTCAACGTCTCTTTGTCCTTATTGTGGAATGGGGAGGGAGGGTGTTCATTCTATCATGCTGCAGGTTATGCTCCACACAGACGCGTCTCCCCCTCCCCTTTTGCGCCGCTGAGCTGTTGGAGCGGATCATCGCTGAAAATGAAAACTAAACTTAAGAGTACATCGTAAAAGAACTCCATCCCGATTATATGCAACTGTCCAAACGACAGGGTCAATGAACTAGTAATCTGTACAGTTTGCACAGTTTATGTTTGAACTTTTTTACAAGTTACTAAGTAAAGCTGTGTCCTATACCAGCGGCCGCAGCCTTCCTCCTCCCTGAGGTGTGCTTCCGCTTTGCGGTCCATGTGGGAACACAGATTAAAGCACTTTCGTACTCGATCAGTCCGCCTGCGGACTGGACAGAAGGCCCTGTACGAAATGGTCGGGTCCGAGTATGTGTACCTTTACACCCTAGAGTAGAGCCTTCAGTATCAGACCTGCTTGTGGACTACAGTCTCTAATGTACTATGGGAGGTAGAGCCTTCAAATATCGGGCCGGCTCGTGCACCTACAGTCTCTAAATGTACTATGGAAGGTAGAGCCTTCCATTATCAGGCTTGCTTGTGGTATTTACAGTCTCTAAGGGCGCACTCACACTGTGCAAAGTTGTACAGTACTGTGCTTAAAGGGCCCATATTATGCTTTTTCTGGTGTTATATGCTCTTTAGTGTGTTTTCCAAGTGTCCTGTGCATGTTTAGGCAATCTATTTGCAAAAAATTCAAAGTCCGCGTAAACGCGGCTTCTCCTACGTCCTCCTGTTATTTGTAGCATTAGCTGCATGTAACGCTCGTTCTAGCCCCCTTCAAAAAGAAATTGCCAGTGTGACGTCTTGTCAGTGTGAGATCACTGATCAAAGCCCATTGGCTCGTTGTGGCAAGCCCTGCAGCTCATGTTGCAGGCCCATTAACTTCTGTAGCACGCCCACGATATGCCGTAGCTTGCAGTAGCACAGTAGTGCTAAGCTGCTAATGTTTATGCTGCCCTCGGACGGAGCCATGGCTGCATTCAGAGAACCGTGCTGAGCGACTGACCGATTACAGCAGAGCGACAGCCGACCACTCAATCACACTTAGAGAGAGAGTCAGAAGCGAGCCGCGTGCATGGAGCGGCAGTACATGAAAACAGACACTTTTTTTTAACTTTACTATTGTGAACATACTTTAGTAGGTACATAGATTAAATATATGAACCCTAAAAATGGCATAATATGACCTCTTTAAGCA